TTATTATTATTAATATCGGGTCAGTGTACCTATTCCAACAACATGCACTCAGTAGCAGGGATTCGACACTGGACGTGTTGTCTCCACCAAGCACTGCTTGCTCCATCCATCTCTCTGTGTCTCTGTATCTCTGTGTCCCTCTCTCTTTGTGTCCTCGTGACCCTCAGCGCTCTGTACTCCCTGTATTTCACGTCCAGATCCGTCCTTTGAGATCCAAAGCCCCAACAGCCGTCTCTAAATGGCCATGCTTGACCCTTGCTCACCCACAAGACACACAGAGCGCGCACGCACGGGCGGACGCACGCTCGTGTTGAGTGAAAGTTGCCCGTCGAGCGCGCGCCCCCTCTCTAGAAAAGGGTCAGTGACCCCTGCGGCGGGGAGCTCTTAGACCAGTCACTCTGGACGACACAGCCCAGGCTCTCAGCTTTGTCCTCCTCCACAACTGTCTCTGAACTTTCTCCCCCTCTCTATCTCTCTCTTGCTTTTCAGTTTATGAAAAATTCACCATTCAACACAATTATTTAAGATCCCTTTTCTAGCGATCTCGCCGACATGGATTTCTTTCATTTCCAAATATGAAAGGAATGTCGTTTTTCTGGCGAAAAGGGCTATACGAAGGAAGAAAATGTTTGTCTCTTCTTGTGATTCCAACGCCGGAGTGTATAGCAAATCTATTGAATTCAGCCAAGCGCATGCGACCGATCTGCTTTGGTTTCCAGTAGTTTCCTCTTTGTTGTGGCTATCTTCTCTTTGAGACCCCGGCGACTTTCTACGTTTTTCATGATGTCATTGGATGTCAAGAGAGTTTCTATAGGCGCCGAGTTTGATGTATCAGGGGAGATTTGAGAGCGGGCTGGCCAAAAGGCGAACGAACAGAGGTCGACCAAAGACGTGTCGCGGAGGAATGAAAACGATTGTAAGAGAGTGGAAGTGAATGCGGTTAGTGTTGTGAGCTGGTGGCGCCTGTCTCCAGAGAGTCTGTGGTTATTGTTAGGACTTAATATCACGTTACAAGATGTTCAAACGGTTTTTGTGTGTGTGTGTGTGTTTGTGTGCGGGGTTGGACGGCTCAAATGTTGTGTTGGTGTCGAAGGAGTTTGTGTTCTATTGGTAACAAGGTTGTGCCGTTTTCGATCCACTCTATAACCTCAAAACAATGACGCTGCTTTATTTTTTTCTTCAGTAATATATTTGTGTGAACCCTTTTGTGTGTGCCGTTTTAAGTACTGAAACAAAAAAAAAATTGAAAAAAGGTCGTGGAGAGGAGCGAATTGCAAACCAACATGTCAATATTTTTTTCAAGCAATCGGGTTGGTATAACAGAAAAAAGGGAAGAGTGGGTCGGTGAAAGATTGAAAAGGATAGGAAAATAAAATGAGATGAAGAAAGAAAAGAGGAAAACAAAGAGAGAAGGGTGGGATTAAGAGCGAATTGTGAACAATCTTGTCTGGCAGCCAGTCTAAAGGGGGG